GGCCGCGGGGCCGCGTAAAGGAATAGGGCGCCCCCTGCCGTCCTGCGACACGGGCTCCGATCCAGCCCGCAGCTAGCCACGCCCCTCCTGCTCCCGGACGGTTTAAACTGGGGAGGCTAAGCACTTAACAGTGGGCACGCGGAGGCCCAGGGAGTCCAAGCTAGTGCCTGGCCTATGGAAAGATGGAGGCAGAAGGAAAGGGCACCCACTCTATCTTCATTAGCACTGGATCTGCCGTGCACCAGGTACAGGTCTCAGCCAGAAGCAATGAAGAGTGGGCAGCCGAAGAAGCTCGCTAGAGGACTTCTCCCCAACTCTGGTCTGGGCTTCGGCGGAAGGACACCGAGGGTCTGCGCTCAGACCGGCAGTAATGCAGCATGAGGAGGAGGTGGGGGCCCAGGCACCTTCACGTCCAGTGTCGACACAGCGGCCACTCGCGCAGCTGGACCTAGGAGTCCTTCAGGCCAGATAGGCACCCACACACACTACAAAGGGCTTCTGGGTCTCTAGCCAAATCCTGCTGTGGGCGAGGTCTGGGGAAGAGATTTGTATATTCTGTGGGATTCGCCAGCCCCGGGGTCCAGCTGTCAGCTTGGCTCCCGCCAGGCGAACTGGGCGGATACATATAGAAAGAAGAGACAGAGAAGGTAGTAGGTAGTATCTCGTGGGGAAGGAGGTGAAGCATGTTCCAAATTGGGTACCCTCCATCTGGGACATGCTCTCCGGTGGACCGATGAGCCCCCAGTTCCAAGTGCCCCCTACTGGCTGACTGTGGCCTCTCCATTAGGCAAAGCCCTGAGGGTGCCCTTATTGGCCACCCATTCTCTCTACTCAGGAACTCAGCCTAAGCCCACTGGAGAGCGAACTGGCAGGAGAGCTCTCTTCTGGAGAGCGAACTGGCAGGCCCCAGGCCTGGTGATATGGGAAAGACCTACCCATCACTGGGCCCAGGGGCTCTGGGGAGGGGCTGCTCCTGCTGGAGCCTCACCTGTGTCCCTCACTAAGTACGCTGACCCTCAGATGGGGTACGGGCAGCTGTGGAGGGACTGCCTGTGGCTCAGCCTGAGCACGAGGGGCCCCAGCAGATGTGTCCTTTTGTTTTTGTAGAAGTGAATCCTCCAGAGCAGGAGAGCAGGTCTTGTGTCAGTTTCTGGGAGAAAAAGATGTAATTCTGGGCTCTGACTGGGATGCTCTTGTCACTGAACTTAGCCACTTAAGCCTGGTCACCTGGACATACCTTGATACCCTCCTAAACCTCAGCAGGGTTATGGAGATGAGGCGGGGGTGGAGTGGAACAGACCAGACGGTGTTTTCTCTGCATCCATTTTTATTTCCAAAGCTTGATTCCAGCAGGGGGCCCTCTGCCCTGGTCTCACAACCCTTCCCTACCCCCTCGAAGGCGCAGATTCATGAACACAGTACACTGGGACTTGAGGCCATAGTCACCCAACATGTGCTCGTCCTCCATAGATCTCCCCTCGAAGCTCAGGTAGAACATGTCTTCCTGTGCTCCCTCTTGCTGGCACACCTGCTTCTTCAGCGCTGCCACCGTCTGTGTCAGTTGGACCTCATACAAACGGCTGCGCCCCTTGTCGTTCCTCACCAGGATGCTGAAGGGGTTTTCACAGTCCTTCACTAACAGCAAAACCATGCTGCCAGGGGCCAAGCCCTGTTCAGTGAGGGTGAATCCGTCCTGTAGCACCTTTTTGCTTGGATGGATGGCTAGGCGCTGCTGGAAGGCAGGCACCCCGGCCTTCTTTGCAATCTCCCTCTTCAGTTCCGGCACCGTCATGGTGGAGTTCAGGGGCACCATGTACTCCTGGCCCCCCAGCATCTTCACCTTCAGGTCCCAGCCCTGTGGGTGTACATGGGCTTAGAGACTCAGCACAAGCCATGAGTGAGCTCCTACGCCCTGGGATGCAGCTCCCTACCATCTGCCTTCTCCACCCATCAGGAAGAAAAGGCATAGAAGTGGTCCTTTGTAGTAGGGCCAGCCTCCCTTCACCCAGATGCCCCTGGCCTTACCCCAGGGATGCCCACAGAGCAGGGTTGGAGTCACATCCCTCCCCTCACAATGGGGATCCAGCCAAGCTCAGAGCAGCTTTGCCTCTGGGAGATCCCAAGGGGAGTGCCTCCCTCCTCCCACCTGTCAGGTCTACCTTACCATGGTTGTGGGTTGTAGCACTAGCACTCCGCAGGCACTGACAAGTGAGTTCTCTACTCAGCTCCCAGCTGCTCTTGGGGATCCGGCAGGCTCTGCCCCTTTATGAGCCTGAGCTGTTCACGTCATGGGGCGGTGTCTCCAGCAGCCGGTGCTAGTGGCCAATTGCCTTCGGTTGGTTTCAGTTTCCTTTTCCCAAGGCTTGGCCTCAAGTGAATAGAAAAAACAAAACAGAACCACACAATGGCAAGGAAGCAGAGTGGGAGGGCCCAGGCTATCAGGGTATGTATTTGGAAAGGCCCTAAATTATCCTCTACTACAGGTCCTTTACAAGTTGCACAAGAGACATAATAACATGAACTAATTATTGAAAACTTTCATTTTCCATTTACAAGTTTCCAAGTTAGTTAAGTTAGGGGTTGGGGATATAGCTCAGCAGTAGAATTCTTGACTAGTAAACTAATTAACTTGGGAAATATACCATGATTAACTCAGAAGCAATATAAAATTGTGACAGACCAAACCACCCAGAGATGACTACCACTGGTTTAAAATAGTACCTGTTCTGAGTTTTTAAAATGGAATATATACCTTTTTTTTCTATAAAAACAAGCATATGGACACCATAAAGAAAGTGAAAGGTCAGGGCCAGGGATTTAGCTCTGGTGCCACCACCTGCCTTGAAAGCCAAAGGCCCTGAGTTCCAAAAAACAAGAAAGAAAGAAAGTGAAAGGCTGAGTCACAGAACAGGAGAAAATATTTCTGAATTTTCTACCTCATAAGGGTCTAATATTCACCATAAGAACTGTCACTAGGGGGCCGGGGATTTAGCTCAGTAGTTCCACTGCCTGCCTCACAAGCACAAGGACCTGAGTTTGATCCCCAGTACCAAAAAAACAAAAAACAAAAAAATGTCACTAAACAACAGGATGATAACCTACAATTAGCAAAAAGGACTGGGGATGTAACTACTGTTGTAGTAGAGAGCTAGCCTAGCATAGCATGCTGGAGGCCTCTGGATCCAGTTCCCCAAATGCCCATCTACAAAAAAGGCAAAGGTTTGAATAGATTTTTCTCTAAGGAGATACACAAATGGCCAACAAACACATGAAAAGATGCTCAACTTCATTAGTCACTAGGAAAATGTAAATCAAATCACATGATGAGTTACTATTTCACACAGGCATGGCAATGATAATAATAAAGAGTAAAAAATAACACATATTGATGGGAACACGGAGAAACTAATATTCTAGTACTTTGTTCTTTTTTTTTTTTTTTTTTTTTTTTTGGTACCAGGGATCAAACTTGGGCCCTTGTGCTTGCAAGGCAGGCAGGCAGCGGAACCACTGAGCTAAATCCCCTGCCCATTTTAGTACTTTGCTGTTGAGATGGAAAATGGTCTAGCCACTGTGGGAAACAGTATAGTTATTCTTGAAAAAGTTAAACATAGAATTATTGTATGATCCAGCAATTTCACTCCTGGGTATATATCCCAAAGAACGGAAAAACAGCATTCAAGTACTTGTATACAAATGTTCACAGGAGCAGTACTTACACTAGACAAAAAGCAGAAACAACCCAAATATCAGCAGATGAGTAAGTAAACAAAATGTGATTGGTCACATGATGGAATAATATCTAGACACAAAAAGGAATTAAGTATGACACACATTACAGCTTGAATGAACCTTGAAAACATTATGCTGCATGAGGGAAGTCAAACCCCAAAGGCTAAATGTTGTAGGACAGTATGTATGAGGCTTCCAGAACAGGGTTGTGCTGGTTTCTGTCCTGAGTGTCCACCAAGCATCCTTGTGGTGCTACTTGGAGGTACTGGAGCCTTGAAAAGGCAGGGGTTAGTGGGAAGAAGCTAGGTTCCTGAGGTGCTTTTGAGGGTTACATTGGGAGGAGAGCAGTTTCCTCCACAATGGGTCCCCCAAGCAACAGAGCCAAGTGAACATGGACTGAAGTCTTAAAAAAATTGTGAGCCAAAGTAAACCTTTCCTCTGTGTGTGTGTGTCTGTGTGTGTATTGTTTTACTGGAGATTGAACCTTCGTACTGAGCTACATTCCCAGCTCTTTTTCTTTCTTTTCTTTCTTTTTGTACTGGGGATTGAACTCAGGAGTGCTTAAGCAGAAATGGAAGCATTGTTACACAGGAAGCTAGGGATAGGTGAGCATACTCACTGGGGGAGGGCAGAGTTGCAGAACATTCCTAAAAGGTCACACAGTTCAAACAATTGCAAAGCAGCAGTTACATTTTTGGAACAAAACATTTTACAAAAAAAGGCGGGGTTTCTCCAAAGGCTTCTGCTATGTATTATGTTGAAGTCAATTATGTTGAAATCTCTAACTGCTGCTGAAGCAGCCCTTCCCAGGCACAGGCCTCATAAATCCCTCCTGTGCTCCTGGGCTGGTCACCCGCTACCCTACAGCAGTCAGAGTGACCTGCACAGAGCCTTTCTGCCAGTGGTCTCCTGGCTCTCCTGGTCTCACCTGTCTCTGCCCCTGCCCCATCACCAGGCACTTGGCCACAACACTCCAGTACACTCCTAGCCAGGCCCAGTATCCATGCCCACTGCACCCCTTCGAGGCTTTCCTGGCCATCACCTCTGGGATGAAGCCTTCCCTGTCTGCCCCCACTGCTGTGTCTCTGACCACCTTCTAGGAATCATGTGACTTACTTCTTGGTCACTGTTATGGTCCTTTCTCCTTCACTACAATGTTTATTACTAAACCTACAGGGACACATACTTACATGGTTAAATGAATCCTTGTATATCTAATTTCATTAACTGTAAAAATGTGCTGGCTCTTACATTCTCTGTCTGTCTTAATAAATTCAATAACATCCTCCCATCTTTCTGTCTAGAATCATGTACTTAAATATCTTATAAATTTAAAAAAAAAATTTTGAGACAGGGTCTTGCTATGTAGTCCAGGCTGGCCTTGAACTTATTATGTAGGCCAGGCTGACCTTGCAGTCTCAGCAGTTCTCCTGCCTCAGACTCCCAAGTGCTGGGGTTACAGGCATTCAAACCATGCCTGGCATTCTTTTCACAGCTTTTTGGAGGCAGGATGACACACACAGGCTATTTATTTACTGTGTGATTCAGTGCCCAAAATGGTACCTGCTGGGATGCTTCCCACACTAAGAGGGTCTGCTTCGTCTCTCTCATCTCTGCCTAATTCTCGCTGAAGTTTCTTGCCTCCTGAAGAACTGTCCTGCTTCTTGAGGGGTTGGTGGGCTTCTTGGGTGGGTGAGGCATGGCCTTGATGAAGACTGGACATGTGGGGTCCTTAGTGGTTGGTGCCCATGGAGGATGAGGAAGTGGCACTACGGAAAACACCACCTGCCACCCCAAGGGGTCAGCACCATTACACGGCTGCAGCCTTGGACTCTTCTTTCCCACTCAGCAAAGGAGCCCCTTGGCCCTCAGGAGACTTAAGTACCCTGAGAGAAACCCAGGCTAGATTTGAGAGTCAGGAAAGAAACTGTGAGATGAGGGCAGTGCCTGAGAGACACCATGCAGAGAGCAGGGCTTGCCTGGCCTGGAGACTTGCTTGTTGGGCTGGGCACAGGCTTCAGACTCTGGGGTAGCTCTCTGGGACAGGGCAGGCTGCTCTCCTCTTTGCTCAGTCCCAAAGCCAGAACTCACCTGTTGTGCACTTCAACATACTGTGAAGGTAAAGTGGCACTCGGAGGGCAGGCAGACCAAGAGAGTGGCACTCAGAAAACTGAAGGGAAAGACAGGTTTATTTGCTGGCTAGCAGGCCCAATGGAAGTTACTTTCCAGAGTCTGAGCTCTGTTTCTCCATTTGTTATATTTATCTGTTTTTTAGCCAGGGAAGGGGAGCAAGCATAATTTTACAGAAGCAGAACTTAGCAAAGTGTGGGGAGATGGAGGGAGGTAATATTGTTTTTACAGTTTATCTTTAAGACAAAGGGAGGTGGGAAGCTGTGTTTCAGGAGTTCATCTTCCAGGCACAGTGACCATCATGGGTTTAGCAGGAGGGGCAAGCCCTAGACAGTAAGCCTTGAGACTATCAGTCTCTACCAAGCTTTGAGACTGTTAGTCTCTGCTCTGTCTGTTTTTTCCATTTCAAAGGTAGAATCCTGGGCTGAGGATTTACTTCAGTGGTACCGTCACCTGTCTCACGAGTGCAAGGTCCCAAATTCAATCCCAGGTACCAAAAAAAAAAAAAAAAAAAAAAAGTAGGACCCCATTTGTCTTCCTGATGCCCCTAGGATTGAGGTAGGATAAAAAATAGCAAGATAGGTGGAAAGGAGGCAAGGTAATTCATAATTTTAAAATTGAGCTTTTAAGAAAACTACAGGACACAAAAAGTTACCCAAGGTTACAATGCCTTTTTTTTTTTCTTTCCAGAAACTCACTGCAAAATCTCTAAGTTTTAAGAGATACAGTAAATCTGCAAATTAGGGTCCTGCCTCTTCCTGTAAATTGGGCCCTACTTTTCACAAATTTCATAGACTTCTACCCCCAAGGAAGTAACACTATTAAGTGGGCAGCATCTCTCTATCTCTCTAAATTTCTTTCTTTTTTTTTTTTTGGTACCAGGGATCGAACTCAGGACCTTGTGCTTTTGAGGCAGGTAGCAGGACCATTGAGCTAAATTCCAACCCATCTCTCTAAATTTCAAATCCAAATGGTTTGTATTCTGACCTAGCAAACACTAGCAAACATGTCCTAGATTACCATACGCCTTGAAGATGCCCAAGAACACAGGAAAACCCAGGCCCAGGCCATAATGCCTCTCAACTGTATGTGCTGAACTTCCTTCTCATTGTGGACATCTTTCTGCCTAGTAAACCTGTACGTACCTCTTACCAATTCTTTTCCTCAATGAGTCAAGTTACACCCAGGTGGGCTGGGTATTTAGCTCAGTGGTTCTGGTGCCTGCCTGGCAAGCACAGGTACTGGAGTTTGATCCCCAGTACCCCCCCCCCAAAAAAGAAAAAGTTACACCTGGGAGAGGATGAATTGAATTCTCTACCTCCTCTTTTCAGGGACCTCCACAAACCAATTCAGTGTCAGGATAAATGAAGACTACCCTTTTTTTTTTTTTTTTTTTGGTAC